ATATATATATTATATATATAATAATATATATATATACATTATACACACACACACACACACACACACACACACACACACACTCACACACACACACACACACACACACAACATATATTATATATATATTATATATATATATATATATATATATATATATATATATATGTGTGATGTACCGTTCTTGTTTTTGTGTGTGTGTGTGTCCATCTACATATACATATGACCTATGTCTCCTATCTCCTTCATCTCTCTCTTTCATCTATATACTCTCTCCTATCACTCTCTCTCTTATATATATATCTATCTACTCTTATATATTACATTATCATATATATTTACTCTCTCTTCACCATATCTCTCTCTTATATATATCAATATATTTATGTGTGCTGTGTGTGTTTTTGCTCTCTTTACTCTCACTATATTGCTATAATTTCCTATACTATATTATATATATATTTATATATATATATTCATATATTCATATATATATATTTATATACCTATATATCATGGCATTCACCCATTTCATACTATATTTTACTTTGTATAGTATATTTGCTATACATATATTATATCTATTGTAACTGTATATGCTTTGTATATATGTATATAATATATATATATATATATTACTCATATATATACTATATATATGTATATATATTATGTCTATGTATTACTGGTCTATTATAGGCTCCTCTATATACTCTTCCCATTATATACGTGCTTCTCTCTCTTTCTCTCTACTCTTCTTCTCTATCTACATATATACTCTCTCTTTTATACTCTTACTATCTTATCTACTCTTATCCATTACACTCTCTATTACTATACTCTTATTACTATTCTTACTCTCTCTTCTTATACTTACATTACATATTGCACATACCTTACTCGTTCTATCCTCTATCCGTATTACCTTCCTTACTCTACTACCTTCCTCCGTCCTCACTTACCTTTCACTGCACTTACTATCTATACTCATATGTATTCTATCTATCTACTCTATGTCTAATCTATATCTTATCTTACTCCTCTTATTACTCATTATATGTGTCTCATAATGTCTCCTGTCTATCGCTCAACATTATTCTGTCCTCATATGCTTCTATCTATATTCCTAACTTCATATATATTACCGTATTCGAATAATCCCCTCTTCTTTATCTACTTCTCCTTCTCCCTATATATATGTTACTTTTACCTATATATTACTATTCATGTTATCATTCTGTATAACTATATTTACATACTGTATCTATCTATCAATCAATAATCTTATTGTATTTCTATCTAATATATTCTATCTAACTTTCTCTTATCATACTCAATCTCTTATCCTCATTGCCTTCTTATCATACTTATTCATTTATTACTGTCATGTATATTGTCTTACTGTGCCTCTTCATACTATCTTATATACCTTTACTATATAATAGTATATACTTATTATATATGTATATATATGACTGCTCGCGCTTGCTCGATTCCTTTCTGCAACTATAATCTTATTCATTATTTCCATTGTATGCTATTCTTACCTATAATATACACACTATATATTGTTATTACTATCTTCTCTATACATACTGTACTAAATCCCTATTCTTATCTACTCTATTCACTCTCCTATATGCTTACTATATGTATGTATATATTATACTCTTATAACTTATATACATATATTTATACATACTATATATATCTATATATACTATATTATTCATATACCTTCTATATATATATGATTTATACCTATTTTCATTCATACTTCTTATCATTTATATTCATATTATATTATACCTATACACTATACATTTACTTCTCCCTCTATCTATATAATACATATTCTATGAGCTATATACTATATGCATTTACTCTTATATATATTATGTATGCAATAATAGTATATATAGTATACATTTTCATATATATACATATATACACACACACACACACACACACATCACAACACACACACACACACTCTATTCTATATTTCCCTATCTCCTACTTATCTATATTACTATATATCTCCTTTCTATACTATATATCATTATACTTATGTATCGTTATCTTCTATTATGCCCCTCTCTTTCTATCGGATATTCCACACTATCGTAGCTATCACTCACTATTGTGTCTAAGTAGTCTGGCTACATCCGATTGTTCCCCAACCTTTGGTTGCTCGCGCCCCCCTTTTTGGATGTGACTCGTATTAGCATCTTCCAAAAGGTTGCGTGCGATGAAGTGTCATTCTTAAGATGAAGCAATTAATTAACGATATTCATTATTTAGTTCTTCTTCTGATTTCTTACACTGTGCTAGCTCATTTCAATCCAGTCCGACTTGCTTTTCTGTTAGCGGTTTATTTCAAAATAATCTTGAGACATGGTTTTCCCTAGTCCATTGTGTTTGAGTTATTTAAAAAGATGAAAAAAAGACCATCTCCTCATTGTTGAGCAATAATTCAGTGTATAAGGCACACCTTTATAATTCATTTGCTCCCTTATCCTTAAATAAAGGCTAACATTTAAGGAAACAAAGGATCCGTAGGGCCTAAGAACTGAAACATTTTCATTATTAGGTGACAGAGCCGCTCAAAACGTATAGAAATTTCACTCGTCTAACACTGTCATTAAACACTCAATTTAGGCTTATCCCAACATTTTTTTTCATTTTTGTGGCCCCCGGACCGCATAACAACTGTAATATAGCACTCATGTCTCCTTCCGACTTTAACCATTAACTAATAAAAGCTCCATCCTCCCCGATTAACATATAATTAAGCTCTATGTCCCCATTTAGTATCTGTTTCATCTTCGAGATTTAGCTATTGTTATGAAAGGTAATTGTGGCAGATAGTATAGGACAAGAATACCATTATGGAAGATTTATTGCTATGTGGGAGAAAGTTTTACTCGTAAGGCACTATAATGCTGTATACGATCAATCTAGATTTAATTCTAAATAAATAGTAATTTTCACGATTGGGAACCCTCTTAATCAGACTTATTAACTATGTTTTCCCAACATATGACATAATATGCGCCATTCCACTAGTGTTTAGTCCAATGCCTCACTGATTGCATGACTGACTAGGCCTTATCCTCTGAAGATTCGATCGTAACTCTGCTAGTTTGTAATGTTAACTATACTCCCATCATTCTCAATATATCCTCACTCTCTCTCCGTCCCCTTACCTCTCTCTGTATACTTTTCCTCTTCGTTCTACTCCTCCCCAATGTAGATCTGCAGTCTGCTGCTGGTAAACACTCACCATGTTCCTATGGCTTGTGCCCCATCTTGTTGACTAACTTGTTGTAGCTGCTCGTGAATGCCTTACTAGCATCTGCATGGCTCTGTCATGCGTTGCTTCTCTCCTCTCTCTCTCTCTCTCTCTCTCTCCTCTCTCTAGTTCCCTATCTTCTGACGATCCGCTCTCATCCTGGATCTCTCCTCAGCTTCTGCTATAACTCTGCTCGTTCATCTGCTGTGCCAACGATAAACCTCTTCCGTGCTCACTTCTCATTACTCTTCTCTCAATGTCGTTCTCTCTCTTCCCATGCCCTTGGGGTCCCAGTGGTCATCACGAGACTTATTAGATGTCCCAGCGTTCAGACATGTCCAGCTTTTCGTTATGATGGTTCCTATATTATTACGAGTGCTGCGAGGAAAGGATGGTGAGCAGTTTTTCAGATATGGCGTGCCAGTATTTCGCTGTGTACTACAAGCTATGCTCATTATTTTTTTTATGTTTGCCCAGTAGTATTACAAGCAATTGCTGAGAGATGTTATGCAGATGGAACGGCATTCAAATATTTGTTTATACTTTAGGTCGATTTGACACACCGGAACTGAAATTAGCGTGACATGTAAAGATTTCACGGCTGCTTGAATAACAACAACGAACGGCAAGAATTAAATCTTTAAGTGCGCCTTACCTCTCGAGTTAATTAGTTAAAGCTTTTCTTCACCTGGATGAGGTTCTGAGGCCAATATCACATATGGCACTGTTGCGGCTAAAGACACTTGGGCACTCTGACCTGCTTAGCAACAAGATCTTTAAATACATCATTTTCGATGGGTATCGGGCTCACAGGAGGTATTGGTGTAGCTCTCCAGACTAAGTTAACCAAACCGCTCGTTCCAGCCTTTTGGTTCACTCGTGTAGAATACATCGAAAACCACGTGCTACCACAAAGCAGTGGTACAAGAAGTCAAGGACAATGTGCTCAGCTGATCATGTTTACAACTGATGGGGAAAATTTACGAAGATATTTTGTCGCATTTGCACTGAGGAACGAGGAATGGGAGTAGATAGAAAAAAAAATGTGTGTGGTGTGTGCGCTGTGGCTTATAAATAATCATTAACAAATCACAAAAATATACACAGTGAGTTTTTTTATAGACAACCGAAGAAGCGATTTTTATTTTTAAAAATGAGTCCATGATTGTAACTGCGCTTTTTATACTTGAATTAATACACAAAAAAGTCCGAAACAAGAGGCACATTCCCTGCTCAATCATATTTATCCTGTACACTTGTAGCACTAACAACAGTATATGAAGACTGTTTGGTGTAAATAAACTCTCGACATCAAATAAACTGCAACGTCCTACCTAGTTAATCTGTTTCCCACCACCAG